GCCCACGCCCGGCGCCGCCCGGCGCATCCCGGGAGCGGCGTCATGTGAGCGCCGACGGGAGGGGGCTCCGGCCCCACCCGGACCCCGCCGCCGCCCTCCCCTCCCTGCCCTCCGCCCGGCACCCCCGGGACCCCGCCAGCCCCATCCCGCTGCTTCCCTCCGCCTCCATCCAGCCCTCCGTCCATCCATCCATCCATCCATCCATCCATCATCCATCCATCATCCATCCATCCATCCATCATCCATCCATCATCCATCCATCCATCCATCATCCATCCATCATCCATCCATCCATCCATCATCCATCCATCATCCATCCATCCATCCATCATCCATCCATCATCCATCCATCCATCCATCATCCATCCATCATCCATCCATCCATCCATCATCCATCCATCATCCATCCATCCATCCATCATCCATCCATCATCCATCCATCCATCCATCATCCATCCATCATCCATCCATCCATCCATCATCCATCCATCATCCATCCATCCATCCATCATCCATCCATCATCCATCCATCCATCCATCATCCATCCATCATCCATCCATCCATCCATCATCCATCCATCATCCATCCATCCATCCATCATCCATCCATCATCCATCCATCCATCCATCATCCATCCATCATCCATCCATCCATCCATCATCCATCCATCATCCATCCATCCATCCATCATCCATCCATCATCCATCCATCCATCCATCATCCATCCATCATCCATCCATCCATCCATCATCCATCCATCATCCATCCATCCATCCATCATCCATCCATCATCCATCCATCCATCCATCATCCATCCATCATCCATCCATCCATCCATCATCCATCCATCATCCATCCATCCATCCATCATCCATCCATCATCCATCCATCCATCCATCATCCATCCATCATCCATCCATCCATCCATCATCCATCCATCATCCATCCATCCATCCATCATCCATCCATCATCCATCCATCCATCCATCATCCATCCATCATCCATCCATCCATCCATCATCCATCCATCATCCATCCATCCATCCATCATCCATCCATCATCCATCCATCCATCCATCATCCATCCATCATCCATCCATCCATCCATCATCCATCCATCATCCATCCATCATCTATCCCTCCCTCCATCCCTCACCCATCTCCCTGTCCCACGTTTCCCGGGGTGTCCCTGGCAGTGCCCAGCACAGGGGTGGCACGGTGCCAGGCCGATGTCCCTGTCTGTGCCCCCAGGCTGGGTTGGTGGCCGTGGCAGGGCCGAGCCCAGCTGTCCCCACTGTCCCCAGGGCACTGCCATGCCTCAAGTGCCAGGCCGATGTCCCTGTCTGTGCCCCCAGGCTGGGTTGGTGGCCGTGGCAGGGCCGAGCCCTGGGGCTGGGTAAATGTTGGCTCGGAGCGGCGCCGCTGCCAGCCCAGCTGTCCCCAGGGCACTGCCAGTGCCCGGCGCAGCTCGGCGGGGACAGCGGCACCGTGCCCACCCTCACAGCCTGGGCACAGCCCTGGGCATGGCCCCAGCTGCATTGGCCAGGGCCTGGGCCATGCCTCAGTTTCCCTTCAAGTGATCCCTTGCTGTGCCTCAGTTTCCCTTGGATTGATCCCATTCCATGCCTCAGTTTCCCTTGGATGGCTCCAAGCCATGCCTCAGTTTCCCTTCAAGTGATCCCTTGCCGTGCCTCAGTTTCCCTGTTTTCCTCCCCACCCCGTGCCTCAGTTTCCATTGGATTGATCCTACCCTGTGCCTCAGTTTCCCTTGGATTGATCCCATTCCATGCCTCAGTTTCCCTTGGATGGCTCCAAGCCATGCCTCAGTTTCCCTTCAAGTGATCCCTTGCCGTGCCTCAGTTTCCCTGCTTGGTTCCAGGCTGTGCCTCGGATTCCCTTGGATGACACCAGGCCATGCCTCAGTTTCCCTGTTTCCCTCCCCACCCCGTGCCTCAGTTTCCATTGGATTGATCCTACCCCGTGCCTCAGTTTCCCTTGTTCCCAAGTTTCCCTGTTTTCCTCCCCACCCCGTGCCTCAGTTTCCATTGGATTGATCCTACCCTGTGCCTCAGTTTCCCTTGTTCCCGCACTCGCACTCCTCTCAGCGCATGGGGGTGAGCGAGGCCGAGGAGGGGCAGCGCCCGCCCCAGGACCCCCCCCCAAACTGGGGGTTTGGACCCCCCAAACCCACCCCGGGGCCCGGCCCGGCCCCGCGGCTGGAGAGAGCTGGCCAAGGGCGGGATTTGGGGAGGGGATCTGGGGATGGGATTGAGGGGTGGGATTTTGGGATGGGATTTTGGAGTGGGACTGAGGGGTGGGATTTGGGAATGGGATTTAAGGACGGGATTTTGGGATGGGATTTAAGCACGGGGAGCAACCCCCCGCCACCCAGCGGGATTTTTTCCCCAGGGTGGGCATCCCCGCCCTGCCCCGGACCCCGCGGGAGCCGGGGCTGCTCTCGGGGGCCCCGGGGGCGCAGCAGCGCCGCGGGATTGGGATTGGGGTCGGGGCAGGCGGAGAGGGAAGAAAGCGCCCTTTGTGCGGGGCCGCGCCGCTCGCCGGTGCTGATGAGGAGGCAAAAATAAAGCTCCGGGCCCGCTCGGGGGCGGCCGGACAAAGGCGGCTTTTTTGGGGGGCCGGGGGCAGCCAGGGGGTGCCCCGAGTCCCCGCGGGCTCCTCCGGGCCCCGAATTCCCGGAGCGTCCCCGGGGTCTCGCACTCAGCACCACCCCAAAGCTTCCTGGGGGCTGCAGGGACCCCAAATCCACCTCGTCCCCCACCCAGGGGACCCCAAATCCACCTCGTCCCCCACCCAGGGGACCCAAGGCCGGGCGGGGACCCCGCCCCCCGGGGATGGTGAGGAGGAGGAGGGGATGAAGGGGATGAAGGTCCCGGGGCTCAGAGCCCCCCCAAACCCCCCCAGCCCCAATTGTGTCGCTCTGCCGTGGCCGGGGGGGATCTGGGGGGAGGGAAATGGGGAAGGGGCTGGGGAGGGGATTTGGGGGGCAGGAGGGGGATTTGGGCTCCTCCAGGCCTTGGGGTCTCAGCCCACCCCACAGGGACGGGGGAACCAGGGGCACCCCGAGATCCGTGGGGGTACTGGGGGCACCCGGGGGGGGGCACAGGGAGCACCCCCTGATGGGTTTTGGGTGCCAGGAGCCCCCAGGGGGGCACCCAAAAATCCCCCAAATTTATTTTTGGGAATTGGGAGCAGCCAGGGGGGCACCCCGAGCTCCCTGATGGGTTTTGGGGGACCAGGATGCCCCAAAAAAGGGGCAAGAAGGAGCTGGAGGGGCTGGGAGGGGGTGAAGGACTCGGAATTCATCACAGAAAACATTCAACAAGTTCCAAGGTTTTTATTTCAAACCCTTTCTCTCTTCCCTTCCCACCCCCAGAAAAAAAAAATCCCAAACAACCCAAAAAACCCCCAAAAATCGACGCTAAAAATGAGTTTTACAAACACCAAGTCAGCTCTTCCTGGCTGACTCTGTAGGGAAAAAAACACCCCCCAAAAAAGCCCCAAAACCCCCAAAATCCAGGAATTCCACACCAGCAGTTCCTAAAATCCCCCACAAGAGGCCAAACATGCCTATAAATACAATATTTACACACAAACCCCACAGCTCCCCACCCCAAAAAATAGCCAAACACACCCAAAAGTGCATTTGTGGTTCATATCAAAACCCATTATTATTAATATTATTATTATTTATTAATTTTTTTCATTAAATCTGAAAGATTGGCCTGCAAAGTCCGTTTGGTTTTTTTATTATTAATTTTTTAACCATTTAGTAACTTTTCTCATATATTTATGAAAATAAATTATACAGCCACTATCTGAATAAATTAAGCACACACACAAAAAAAATTAAGATAAAAATTAAAATTAAAAATAAAAAAAGGGGGGGGATAAAAATAAAATTAAGCAAAAGCTGCATTTTTTTTTTAATTCCAAAGGGTGATTCCCAAAATCCTGGATATCTCACGCCCTGGGAGCTGCTGGAATCTGCTCATTCCTCCTCCAAAGGCGAGGCTGGATCCCGTGAAATTCCTGGGATTTGGGGCGAAGCCCTGGATTGGGAGCACTGGGAGCACCCCAGGGTGGATTTTTAGGGACTGGAAGAACCCCAGGTGGGGTTTTGAGGCACTGGGAGCACTGGGAATGGCCCAGGGTGGATTTTGGGGCACTGGGACACCCCAGGATGAGGTTTTGGGGCACTGGGAGCGCCCCAGGGTGACAAAAAAACCCCAAAACCCCCCAAAACCCCCAGCTCCCATTCCCAGTGCCCCCAGCTCCGCTTTTCCCTGAGCTGCTGCTCGCCCTTCCCAAAGAAGAGTGGGAATGCTGCCACCACCCCAGGAGAGAACAGGACTTTCCCTGGGTTTTCCCTGGGTGTTCCCACACTTCCCAGCTCCCTGCATCCCGTGACCCACCCCAATCCACTTCTCCTTTTCCCTTTGTTATTTTTGGGAAGCACAGCTGGAGCAGGCCCGGCTCCCGGGGAGGTTTTCCCTCACTCATCCCACGAGGTATTTCCATGGATTTTCAGGCTCAGTTGCACCCAGAAACCTGGAATTTTTTTAAGGATTGTGGGTTTTTTTCCTCCAAATCCCAGCTGGAGGAGGCAGGCAGGGCAGGATTTGTAGCACCTTTCGTGGCAAAGCAGCTTGGAATTTTTTCCATTGAAATCCAGGAATTCCAGGGCTGGGATCACCCTGGCAGCTCCCAGGGCTCCTGGGAATCCTCAAATCCAGCAGGGTGGGGCGATTCCTTGGATTCAGAGCACTGGAATGCTGCTCCTTGAAACACAGCAGGGAGGAGTTCTCCAGAATTCCCAGCTGGAAGTGCCCCCACGGAATTGCTGCTCGGGGGATGGAGCAGCAGCCCGGGATCCCGAGGGGGGAGGGAGGGAATTCGCACCCAAAATCAGGGAAAGAGCCAAAGCTCCCCTGGGTTTGCTGCTCCTGATGTCCCAGGGAGAGGAGGGAGCTGCTCCAGGAGGATCCTCCAGAGGGAATCACCCCATTCCCAGCCTCTGGAATCCACCAGGGACAGGCTGGGAGAGTCTGGGATCCCTGCAGGATCCAGGGGCAGCTCCAGCAGCAGCTTCTCCACCCTGCCAGGGCTCCAGGGGAATCTTCCAGCAGTGCTCCCTCTGGATCCACCACATCCCACGCTCCTTCCTCTCTCCTTCCATGGCTCCAAGCTTTTCCCGGGATGCTCCTGCCAGTCCTGGAGGGTTTGGATCTCTCTGCCCAAATCCTGGGAAGCGGGGGAGCTGTGGGGCTCCACACTTCCTTTGTTCCAGGGGTTATTCCCAGGGGCTCTTCCACCCCTGGCTCCGCCTGCAGCTCTCCAGTGAGGATCAAAGCCTTGCCACGATGGATCTTCCCAGAAAATTCCCCCTTTTTTCCTTCTTTTCCTCTCCCTCACCTTGAAATTCCCAAGGTGGGATCAGAAAACCCGGCGGGATCAGAAAATCCAGTTTTTCCTCATGCTGAAAATCCGGGAAAAAAAAAATCAAAAGTCCAGAGACATCCAAACCGAAAACTTCCAGGAGAACTTGGGAATAGTGCCATGACATTCCTTGTTCCGCGGGGATCCCGCGGGGCCGGGCTGGGCTCCCCCAGGATTCCTCTTCCCAGGAGCTGGGCTCGGGTCCTGCTCTGCTGGGTTTCCTGGGAATGCTGGGTTTCCTGGGAATGCTGGGCCCTCTCCTCCAGGGAAAAGAGCAGCAGCAGCAGCAGGAGCTCGGCCTCCTCCCCACCACGGCAGGAGGGCAACAACCAAAATTCCTGCTGGGAAAAAACATTGGGAATCGGGATCAGATGGGATTGGGAGGGATCGGGCCTGGGGAGGGAATGGGAATGGGAATGGGGAGGAGCAGGAGGGTTGGGCCCCTTCCCGAGGAAAATGGGAATGGTCAAAGGCCAGGAAGCCTTGCTCTCCTTCCCAAGGAAAGCTGGGAATGGGAGGAGAACATGAAACCTTGTTCTCCTCTCCAGAGAAAGTTTGGGAATGGTAAAAGGCCAGGAATGCTGCTCCCATTCCCAAAGAAAAGCTGGGAATGATGAGGATAGAGACAGCCACGGTTCCTCCAGGGGCGTTTGTGGTTCTGGGGGAGCAGCAGGAGGGGATTGATCCTGGGATGAGGCACCACTCCCAGCCATTCCTGAACCATTCCCAGACCATTCCTGACCATTCCCAGACCATTCCTGAACAATTCCCAGACCATCCAGACCATCCCTGGACCACTCCTGAACCATCCCAGATTGTCCTGACCATCCCTGGACCATTCCAAATCATCCCAGACCACTCCCAGACCACTCCCAGATGGTCCCGACCATCCCTGGACCATTCCAAATCATCCCAGACCACTCCCAGACCACTCCCAGGCCGTTCCCCACCGTCGGTGCCGGGCGGCTCCGCTACGTGGAGGATTCCGTGGAGGATTCGGGCTCCTGCTTCTGCCGGGAGATGAGCTGCGCCTCCTTGAGGGACAGGTACTGCTCCTCCTGCGGGTCGTAGTAGTAGAACTTGCGGATGTAGGAGATCAGGGGCCTGGGAAAACACCGGGAACAGCCGGATCCCTGAGCCACAGCCCTCTGACATTCCCAAAACACACCCAGAGCCTCTTCCCTGGGAAAACACCGGGAACAGCCGGATCCCTGAGCCACAGCCCCTCTGACATTCCCAGAGCACAGCCCTCTGACATTCCCAGCACCTCCACAGGAACAGAGCTGCATCCCAAAGCTCTGGCACAGCAGGGAATTCCTGCCTCCCAAGCCGCTCAGAATTCCCACTGCGCCCCTGAACCCCACAGGACATCGATCCCGCCGTCCCAAAGCCGGAAAAGCCGACGATTCCCTCCCGGACCTGCGGGCACAGCTCCCTGCCGCTGCCTGGGAGGGAGGGAGGGGATTCCAGGGACCCATCCACGGGGGAAGCCGGCACTCACTTGGGCAGCGGGAGCTCGGGAATGTGGTCGATCCGGACCAGCTGCCGGATGCGGAAGCGGCAGAGGTGCTGCAGGGATTTGACGTTGCTGAACCTGGAGACGGGATACAGGAGCTGCACGGGCGTCGGAGGGAGACCTTTTGGGGAAGAAAGGAGGTTTTGGAGATCAGGATTAGGCAGGATTAGGTTCCGGGGCTCAGCTGGACAACCCCATTCCAGGCTCACCTGGAACCCTGGAAAATCCCATTCCTGAGCTCCCCTGGATCCCTGCCAGTCCCATTCCCGAATTCACCTGGATCCCTGCCAATTCCATTCCAGGCTCACCTGGATCCCTGGCCAATCCCATTCCTGAGCTCACCTGGATCCCTGGAAAATCCCATTCCCAGACTTACCTGGACAACCCCATTCCAGGCTCACCTGGAACCCTGGAAAATCCCATTCCTGAGCTCACCTGGATCCCTGGAAAATCCCATTCCTGGGCTCCCCTGGCCAATCCCATTCCCAGGCTCACCTGGATCCCTGCCAATCCCATTCCTGAGCCCACCTGGATCCCTGCCAGTCCCATTCCCGAATTCACCTGGATCCCTGCCAATTCCATTCCAGGCTCACCTGGATCCCTGGCCAATCCCATTCCTGAGCTCACCTGGATCCCTGGAAAATCCCATTCCTGGGCTCACCTGGCCAATCCCATTCCCAGGCTCACCTGGATCCCTGCCAATCCCATTCCAGGCTCACCTGGGACCCGGGAGCGCAGGAAGTAGAGGAATTTCCCATTTTTGGAGTGCATGATGGCCCTCTTGATGAACTCCACCACGGACTGGCAGCGGTCCTCGAACTTGGGGTGGCACCAGAGGCTGAAGGTCCCTTCCACAGGAGAAAGAATGCCCATTATTCCAGGGGATTTTTGGGAAACCATAGGGAAATTATTCCCTTAATTCCAAGGAATTTTTGGGAAAGCACAGGGGAGTTATTCCTGTTATTCCTTTTGGGAAAGCAGCTTCCCCAGCACCATCACGGAAACAACAGGGGGAGGATATTCAGGGACAAATCTGGCATTCCCAAAATTCCCTGGAATGGGCTCTGTTTTATGGACTCGGGAACAGCTAAACTTTTTGATATTCATACATTTAATAAATTAAATATTCTTGAATTTAATATTATTATATTTAGGACATTAAATATTCTCACATTCTGGAGTGTCCCTGCTCCATCCCAACATTCCCAAGGGAAGGAGACCTTGGAGCGTTCCCAGCTCCAGGTGCTGCTGTCCCCATTTCCCTGGGATCATCTTCCATGGGAGCAGTTTCATGTTCCTGCTCCTTGATTAACGGGATTGTTAATTAGGCCCTGGGTCACCCTTTGTCCCCGTGCTGCCACCTGACCCGTCCAGGTGAAACTGGAGCTGGGGACAGCAGAGCTCCCGGAGTCTGACAGCCCCTGCTCCCCCAAAACCCGGGAATTCTGCAGGCTGGGAAGGGCCCGGCTGTGCCTGGACACCGGTGTCACCGTGTCCCCAGCTGCCACATCCACGTGGCTCCTGGCACTTCCAGGGATGGGCACTCCGTGTGCAGCCTGTTCCAGCGCCTGACCACACTTCCCAGGGATAAACTCTCCCTAAAATTTCCATTTGTCAGAATTTCCTTTATTCCCACTTTCCCAAGGCACTGCCAGCTCTCCAGTCCCATTTTAAACAAGGCACTGCCAGCTCTCCAGTCCCATTTTTCCAAGGCACTGCCAGCTCTCTGTTCCCATCTTCCCAAGGCACTGCCAGCTCTTTATTCCTCGGTAGTGCTCCATGCAGGTTTACAACCCCCTGGAGCTGGGAATAACCTCCCAGGAATCTGGGGTCCCGGGAATGCTCACCCCGGTAGTGCTCCATGCGCGTGTGGTGGGTGGGTGATTTATAACCCCCTGGAGCAGGGAATGGCTCCCAGGGATCTCCCAGGGGTCCCGGATGCTCACCCCGGTAGTGCTCCATGTGGGTTTACAACCCCCTGGAGCAGGGAATGGCACCCCAAAGGCTCCCAGGGGTCCTGGATGCTCACCCCGGTAGTGCTCCATGCGCGTGTGGTGCGTGATGCCCTGCGAGCGGAAGCTCAGGCTCAGGATGTAGCGGGGGTCGGAGCTGTCCCGCACCAGGAAGGAGCCGTCGGGTTTCCCCTTCAGCTTCATCTCGGCGTCCTCCCAGTTCATGGGGCCCCAGTACCAGCCACACTGGGAACAGAGAGCAGCAGCTGGCACCGGGATTCCCTGGGGAAAACTCCCCGGAATCCCCGGCTGGGATTAAGGGATGAGGGGACACCACGCCCTGAGGGGACACAGGGGATCCAGACCCCCCTTCCACGCTCAGGAAAGGTTCTCCTGGACTCCAAAATCATGGATTCCCAAACCCCACTCCCTGAGGGGCCGCATTCCCAAACCCCAAACCCTGAGGGGCCGCGTTCCCAAACCCCACTCCCTGAGGGGCCGCATTCCCAAACCCCACTCCCTGAGGGCTCAGACTCTCCCGCCCGTTCCCGGTACCTTCTCCAGCTCCCTCAGGCTGGCGGCGAAGCTGCTGGGGTCGGGCCGGGCCAGGGGACACTGCAGGTGGGGCTGGGGACACTGCAGGTGGGGCAGCTGGCCCGGGGCCTCCGGGGGCCGCAGGGGCACGATCCGGGCAAAGGCGTCTGCAGGGACAGACAGACGGGTCACTGCCACTGTCACTGCCATTGCCACTGCCACCCAGAGACCCCTGGGGTCATTGTCACCCAGAGACAGCCGGGGTCACTGCCATTGTCATTGTCACCCAGAGACAGCCGGGGTCACTGCCACACACAGACACCTGGAGACTCCAGGAGGGTAAAAGGTGGAGATTGCAAGAGGGGAAAAAAGAAGAATTCAGGAGGGGAAAAATAAAAATAAGAATTCCAAGAGGGGAAAAAGCGGAACTCCAGGAGGGAGAAAAGGCAGAATTCCAGGAGGCGGGAAAGGCAGAATTCCAGGAGGGGAAAGGCAGAGCTGAGCTGACCTGGGGCGTGGGGCGGAGGAGGCGGAGGCAGAGGGAAGGATTGCAGGGAAGAGCCCACGGGCCCCACCAGCACAGCCGGAGGCAGCGTCCCGCTGAAATCATCTAGGAGAGAGCAGAGAGGTCAGGAAACAGGGAAAGAACAGCCCCAGAGCCTGGGAAACAGCACGGAAACGGGAACCGGGGATTCCCAGCAGAGCTCGAGAGTCTGGAAAACAGCACGGAAAAGGGAATTGGGGGATTCCCAGCAGAGCCCCAGATCCTGGGAAAACAGCACGGAAAAGGGAATTGGGGGATTCCCAGCAGCACCTCCTCTCTGGTTTGGGTACTGCTGGAGGACAGGGATCCCTTTTCCAGCACTGGAATTCCCAGGGCTCCAGAGACAAATCCTACGTTTCCAAGGACGATCCTCGTTCCAGGGACATTCCCAAGGTTCCAGGGCCCCCGGGCAGTACCCAGCAGGCTGAGGCTCCGGCGCGGCGGCGGCGGCGGGGTCGGAGGGTGAGGGGAGCTGAGCCCTCGCTGGGAAATGTCCACGTCCACCAGCGACACCGTCTCACCTGGAAAAGGAGAGGGAAGAGCCCGGTCAGGGCCGGGATCAGGCAGGCCTGGTCCCGGGATGAGCACAGGGAAAGGAACTCCACGGGGTCCGGGAGGCTTTTCCCGTTGGCTGCTCCCAAAATGAATTTCTCAGTCTTTGGAGAGGCCTTGAGGGAATTTGCCCCAAGCCCAGCAGCTGGATGGGATGAGGAGGCTCCAAAGGGATTTTTTCCAGCATGGAATTCCCACAGCGAGCAGAGCTGATCCATGTGTGGCACCAGGGGCATGGTCATTTTAAAAATAATTAAAATTTTTAAAATCATTTTTAAAATAATCAGATAAACTAATAAATAATGAACTCAACCTCCCAAATTAAAGCAAAAAATTTGGCATTTCCAGGCTTTCCTCTGCAGATTCCTTTGAGGAAAAGCAGCTCCTCTCCTGGGGCTCTTAGACCCCTTTCCTGGGGGTCTCAGGCCCTGTCCTGGGCTCAGATCCTCTCTTTGGGGTCTCCTTTTTGGGTCTGAGGCCAGCAGGACTGAGGGACACCACAGAGATCCCAGTGTGGGATCCCACAGAAGCGAAATTCCCCGTTCATCCCACAGCAAAACAGAAAAACCCAAACTTGCACAAATCCCTCCCAAATCCTCACCTGTGAAGAGGGGGCTGAACACAACCGGGGAAAAGGCACTTTGGGTTCTTGTCAGTCTGTGTTTCCTGTGGGGGAAAAACGGGAAAAACGGGGTGAGGGGAGATGAGGAGACTCGGAATCCCACCAGGAAAGAAACAGGAGAACCTTCTTCCACCAGAGAACCTCACACTGCCACGAGAACCTTCCACTGCCACGAGAACCTTCTCCCAGCAGGAGAAATCTCTCCCAGCAGGAGAACCCTCTCATCCTTCCCAGCACCTCCAGCCACGTGTTTCTCCAACTCCTGCTCAGGGCAGGGAACCCGGAGGAGCTGGCACTCCATCCTGCTCCAAAGCAATTCCCTGAGCAGGGAACTAATCAGGTTTTGGACAGAGAAGCCCGAGCAGGTGCCAGGGAGCCACGGAGCTGTTTCACAAGAGACCTCACCGTGCTTCCCAGCATCGGGAATTGCCAAATTCCAGGGGCAAAACGGGGCTGGGTCCCAGAGCAAGCTCCCCACGTGCCCAGGGAGGCTCCTGGGGGCCACAGCAGCTCAGAGAGGCCCCAGCACCTGCCCAGCTGCAGGGCTGGCAGCTGCCAGCCCCCCAGCCAGCCCTGCTTCACAGGGCAGCTCGTTTTGGGGCCGCCCAAGGGCTGCAGGGCACGCCTGACCCCGGGTCAGCAGCTCCAGCCTGGAGGAAAACCTCCTGGAGCTCAGCAGGAGGAGGAGGAAATGCACCCCAAAATCCCCACAGAGGGTGAGTGAACCCGCAGGGAAGGCACTGAACCCACCCCTTCACTCCCTGCTGGACCTGGGTGTCCTCCTGGCCTTCTCCAGGAGAAACCTCGGCTCTGCTGCTGGGAATGCCATGGAAAGTGATTCCAGGAGCCTGGGAAGCAGGGATGGAGCAGCTCCTGCCCTGCTGGAACAGGGCTGAGGGACAGCAGGGACCTGGGGGGTCCCACACCCAGAAATGCCAGGATTTGTGTCCCATCCCAGCCAAGCTGGGGCTGGCAACGATTCCTCCTGCACGGAGGGAGGGAGAGCTGAGCCCCCACAGCAGCAGAGCCGGGGGAAACCCCCCTGCAATGCTGGGAGGGGACAGAAGGCCATCCCGTGGGGACAGCAGTGTCACCAGAGGGGACAGCGCTGCCCCAGCACCTGCAGCAGCCTGAGCCACCCATCCCCTCACGGTCATGGACTCACAGAACCTGGAGAAGCCCACCAACAAATCTGCCCCAACATCCAACCTAAACCTCCCCCAGGCACAACCTGGGTCACCCCAACCCTTGTTCCCTGGAGCAGGGCCCGAGCCTCACCTGGCTGCACATTCCTGTCAGGAATTTGTGGAGCAAAAAGGTCCCCCCGACCCTCCTGTCCCCCAGGCTGAGCCCCCCAGCTCCCCCAGCCGCTCCTGGCGGGACGGACGCTCCCGGTGCCGCTCCCAGAGGCTTTTCCGCCATCCCCACCAGGGACGCGGGCCTGGGTCAGCGCGACCCCCGGGCTCCAGCGTCCCCGAGCGGGCGACGAGGCCCCGGCGGCAGCTCCGAGACCTTGAACCCGACCCGGGGATGGCCCCGGAGCCTCGCATCCCGCTCGGGCAGAGCATCACAGACCCGGGCCCCGGGACACCCCCATCCCACCCCATCCCCTCCCATCCCTCCCACGCCGGTGCCCCCGTACCTGCCCGGCTCCTGCTCCCGGCCGCGGGCCCCGCACACATCCGTGAGGCTCCCGGCCGAGGCGGCGGCCCTGGCGGCGTCCCCGGCGGCCGAGCCGCCGCTGCAGCTCTTGGTGCGGAAGAGGCGGCTGAGGCGGATGCGGAGCGAGCCCTTCCTGCCGGTACCGCTGCCGGTGCCGGTGCCCGCGGGCGGCGGCGCGGGGCCGGGGGCTGCCGCTCTCCCGGCGGCGCGGGCGGCCCCGCGCCCGGGGCGCCGGTCCCGCCTCTCCCGGTGGCGCTGGGCCCGCCCCGGTGCGGAGGCCGCGCCCCCGAGCCCCCCGACAGCCCCCGGGGACCTGCGGGAGCGGGGCACGCACCGGGCACAGGGAGCAGCTCCGAGCCCCCACCCGCCGCCGGCACCGGCACCCAAGGGTGGCTCCGGCACCCGCGGAGGGACCCGCTCCGAGCCCCGGGAGCCGCTCCGAGCCCCGGGAGCAGCTCCGAGTGCCCGGTACCCACGGGCGGGAGCGGTTCCGAACCGCGGCACCGCCTCGGTCCCGGCGCCCTTGGGGACGGGGGTCACGGATGGTGGGGCCGGGGGGGCTCCCGGACACGCAGCTCCAGCCGTGACCCATCGCAGTCATCACCCGCGCCGGGACCGGGGGATGCGGTGGGGGAAACTGAGGCACGGGCACGCGGTGCTTCGTACCGGGAGCCCTGCGCGGCTCTTGCCCGGTTCTGGCGGGCAGCGCGTCCCAACCGGAGCAGAGGGGACGGGACCGGCTCTCCCCACACCTCCCCGCGGGCTGGGGCTGGGGAAGGTCATGGTTGCTTGAGGCTGGAGCAAGGAAACTGAGCACCCTCCCGTGCCTCAGTTTCCCATCTGCAGCCCGGGTCTGCTGCGCGGGACATCCCACTTGGGGGGTGGGCTTCAGATCCCGCTCTTGCCCGCACCCAGCGCCCCCAGCCCCACAGGGACACCCCGCGTGGGTGCCACCCCCCATTCCCACCCCATGGCCCGGGGGGGGCACCGGACACTGCGGGATTGGACCCCGCGGGCGCCCCGTTCCCCCCGGCTGCCGAGAGGCCGCGGGGAGGGGGATACGGGCAGGAAAATTCCGGTCGCCGTTGCCATGGCTTCCCATCAGGATGCGCTTGCATCACGGCCAGCCCGAGGGGCCGGGGCTCGGTCCCCTCGGGGCTCAGACCGGGGGGCTCCGGGCAGCGCCGCCGCCCGAGCAGGAGCGCGGGGGCGGGCGGGGGGGCTCCGGGCAGCGCCAGCCGCTGAGCGCGGTTTGGAGCCGGTGACGTCTGCTCCGGCATCGCCGAGGGAGAAGAACGGGCGGCAGAGCGCGGGGCCGGCTCCGGGCAGCTCGGGGTCCCTGCCCGCCATGCGCCCCCCGGGCCGGCCGGAGGGGCCGCCGGGGGCCGGGGGGCTCCGCTGAGCCCCCGCCATGGGGCCGTGCCGCTGGCCGCTGCTCTGGGGGCTGCGCGCGGTGCTGGTGCAGCTGGCCGTGCTCGCGGCGGGGCAGGAGAGACCCCCGCGGCCGGCGGGATGGCCCCCGGCCCCCTCCTCTTCGTGGGCGCCCACCGCGGAGCCGGGAGCGCCGGCGGACGGCGAGGGCTCGGCGGCAGCGCTGGCGTTCCTGCGCACGGGCGATGCCGAGCGCCTGGCCCGGGCCAACTGCAGCGGGGCCGTGGCGGCGGCGGCCCCCGGGCCCGGGCCCCCCCCGGCCCTGCGGGCGGCCCTGCGAGCCGCCCCCGAGGCGCTGGCCCACGCCGCCAACTTCCTCAACATGCTCTTCCAGACCAACGACATCCGCGAGGCCAGCGTGGCCGAGGACGTGGAGTGGTACCAGGCGCTGGTCCGCAGCCTGGCCGAGGGGCACCCCTGGGTGCGCAGGGCGGTGCTGGCCCTCGACGCCCACCCGCTGGCCCCCAAGCCCCGGCTGATGCTGCAGGCCACCAGGGGGGACGGGCAGATCCTGCTGCAGGACGTGTCCGGCGCCGCTCCCAGCCTGGGCAACCTCAGCTGGGACAACGAGTGGTTCAACGCGCTCAAGTCGCAGCGGGAGCCGGCGCTGCGCAAGCGGGTGCTCAGCAATGACCTGCGCAGCCTGGAGACCCCCAAGTGGCAGCGGGGGGACAGCTACGTGGGGGACCCGGGCCACGTGCGCTGGTCCCCGCCGTTCCTGGAGTGCCGCGAGGGTCGCTTCCTGCCCACCTGGGCGGTCACGCTCTCCTCCGCCTTCTACGGGCTCAAGCCCGACCTCAGCCCCGAGTTCAAGTAAGTGGAGCCCCGAGGGGTTTGGGGAGGTGTCAAAAGGGGTGGGGGGTGCCCCGTGTGTGGGCTGGGGGTGCAGCTGGATGTGTCACCCACCCCGGGACGTCCCCAGCGCCCTGCCCGTGTCCCTCTGCGTGTGCCTGCAGGTGCTCAGGTGTTTTTACACATCCTCAGGCACGGGGGTGACCCCCTGCCCCTCACTGTACTGCCCACCTTGCGCTGGCACTGCTGCGCTGGGGGTGGGTGAGCCGGGCCGGGACCCCTCCGGGGGTTGGGGGGTCCCTGCTGCACCCCACTGCCCGAGGAGCCGCAGAGGGCGGCGGTGGGGAGGGAAGGGTCAGCTGGGGTTGGCCCCAGAGCGGGTGGCACGGGGTGGGCACAGGGGCGCCCCACGCCACCCCCTGCGCTGACCCCGTCCCTGGCCGCAGGGGGGTCGTGCGGGTGGACGTGGAGCTGCGGGACGCGGCCATCGACCAGTGCTCCAGCGGGCCGGGCTGGTTCTCGGACACGCATCGCTGTGACCTCAACAGCACCCAGGTACCGCGCCCTGGCACCCGCAGCCCATCCCCTCCCTGCCAGGACCGGGGCACCCCGCAGATCATCCCTGCCAGGGCCGGGGTACCCCGCAGATCATCCCCTCCCTGCCAGGGCCGGGGCACCCCGCAGATCATCCCTTCCCCTGCCAGGGCCGGGCTGGTTCTCGGACACGCATCGCTGTGACCTCAACAGCACCCAGGTACCGCGCCCTGGCACCCGCAGCCCATCCCCTCCCTGCCAGGACCGGGGTACCCCGCAGATCATCCCTGCCAGGACCGGGGTGCCCCGCAGCTCATCCCTTCCCCTGCCAGGACCGGGGCACCCCGCAGCCAGCCACCCCCGGAGCCCCGGCCGGGCTGCCCGTGCCCCGCGTCCCTCCCTCCGGGCTGAGCTTTATCCTCTCCCGGGCGATCCATCTGCTCCGCTCAGCTGCTCTCGCACCGCGGGCAGAGGTTTATTGTGCAAATCTTCCCTCCCCACCGCCAGCCGCGCCGGGTGACCCGGCTGCTCCTGCGCGGGCACCGCGGGCACGGTGGGGACGGGGCCTGGCAGCACCACCGCGGTGCCTCCAGCAGCGCCCACCCCGGCGAGACGGCGGTGCCCGAGCGTCTCGGGGCTTGGCACAACCAGCAGCACCCCCCGGCAGGGCGAACCCCGCAGCCTCGGGGTCCTTCCAGAGCTGTCCCCAAGCGGGAAAGGCGTCGCCAGCTCCCGTTTCCTACCAGCGATGCCTTCCAGAGGGCCGGGCTCCGGGCCGGGCACCCCTCCAGGAAACAACAATGCCCCGCGGCGTTGGGCAGGATGCGGCCGGGGGGGATTAGGGAGCAGGGCCGGGCCGAGGCTGCCGTCACGGCTGGCAGGATTAGGGCGCTCGGCTGCATTAGGTGTCCATTTAGGTTTTAGGGAGGGATTTGGGGCCAAGCTTTGAGTTTTAATTCTGAAATGTTTAACCACTGATTCGTCACGGCTCTGGGGGAGGATGGTCAGGTATCCGTGAGCTGGGAACTGCTGGAGCCCCTGGGACAGGGGCATTTGGGGACAGAGGGGACACAGGGGGTGGGGGACGTGTCTCAGGCTGTCTCCTTCAGTGTGTCCCCCAGGAGAGCCGTGGCTTCGTCCTCGGGAGGTACCTGTGCAGGTGCAAGCCGGGCTTTTACGGGGCCGGCGGAGTGGCCAGCGGTGCCTGGGCAGGTGGGTGCCACCAGGCCCGGGGTCCCTGCTGTCCCCAGTGCCACATGGGTACAGCAGCGGGGGCAGGGCTGGGGGGCTCTGGGGACACAGAACACGTGCCCTGCTGTGGGGGGTGCCCTGGGATGTGCTGATCCCACCCCAAAGCCGTGATCCCACCCGGCCATTGCTGTGTCCCCAGGTGTGGCAGGGACAGAGGGGGGGTCCCGGCTGGGGTGCCGGCCGTGCCGCCCGGGCTGTGCCACCTGCGAGGACGACACGCCCTGCCTGATCCAGGAGGACCAGGCGCTGCGGGCAGCGGTGCTGTCGTGCCAGGCCTGCTGCATGCTGGCCATCTTCCTCAGCATGCTGGTGTCCTACCACTTCCGACGGAGCAAGGCAAGCTGTCCCCGGGTCCCCCCGCTCCGCTGTCACCCCAAACCCTGCAGGGTCAGGGATCCCCCTGCCCTGGCCCTGTCCCCTCTGACGCTGCACCCTCACGCTGGTGTCCCTGCAGAGGATCCGGACATCAGGGATCATCCTGCTGGAGACCATCCTCTTCGGGTCCCTCCTCCTCTACTTCCCTGTGAGTACCCAGCTGTCCCCAGGGCTGGAAAGCTCCAGGATGGGGTTTCCAGGATGCAGCTGCCCCAAGCAGGGCACGGCTCCACCTAATTGTTAATTTTGCTGCCACGGTCCCTGGGGGCTGCCGTATAAACCTTCTCAGAAAACCAAATCCCTTTCCTCCCGCTGCCTGGGGGAATTAATCCCTGCCCAAATCCCCTCTGCCCTCCCGCACCAGTGCAGCGGGTGCTGCAGGGTCACGGGGGAGGCTGGCACAGGACTGGCCTGAAAAGCAGGTGGTTCCCGAGGCTGGGGCAGGCAGGATCCAGCCCGGATCCCTCTCTCCCTCTCTCCAGGTGTTCATCCTGTACTTCAAGCCCAGCATCTTCCGCTGCATCGTCCTGCGCTGGGTGCGGATGCTCGGCTTCGCCATCGTCTACGGCACCATCACCCTCAAGCTCTATAGGTACCTGGGACAGGGGGTGGGGGCTCGGGACCCCCACAGCGGGAAGGGTTTGGGTCTCAGGACCCCCACAGCGGGAAGGGTTTGGGTCTCAGGACCCCCACAGCAGGAAGGGCTTGGGTCTCAGGACCCCCATGGTAGGGAGGGCTTGGGGGCCCTGGGGTTTTGGGACCCCTGTGGTGGGGAGGGCTGGGGGATTGGGATCCCCATAATGGGGAGGGCTGGGGGCTCAGGACCCCCAGAGTGGGGAGGGCTTGGGACGCCCACAATGGGATGGGCTGGGGTCTCACTGGGACGGGCGGGGTCCCAGGAGCACGGCGGGCTCTCACCCCGCTGCCCCGCAGGGTGCTGAAGGTGTTCCTGTCGCGCACGGCGCAGCGCGCTCCCTACGTGTCGAGCGGGCGGGTGCTGCGGCTGCTGGCGCCCATCCTGCTGCTGGTGCTGTGGTTCCTGGCGGCCTGGACCATCGGCACGCTGGAGAACATCCGCAGGAACATCCCGCTGGTCATCCACGCCCAGACCGGCCGCGGCCTGCGCTTCTCCATCTGCCACCACGACTGCTGGGATTACATGATGGTCATCGGTGAGACCGGCCCCCGGCCTGGCCTGGGGTCCCCGCGGCCCCCGGACCCCACCCTGAAATGTGGGGCTTTTGTTCTCTTATCCATTTAATCTTCCTTAAGCTGCAAGGATCTGGGAGTCCCCACGGACCCCATCCCACAACTGTGGGGCTTTCATTCCCTTGTCCCTTTAATCCTCCTGGAGGTTTCAAGGAGGGTTGGGGTCTCCCAGCTGCCTCCCACCCTCCCCCCTGAGCATCCCCTGGTGTTGAGTCCCAAACTTTGGGAAGGCCGTGCAGGGGGTGCCCCATTCCCAGCTCTGAACAGTCTGGGTGAGGGTGGGGGGCAGCAGCTGAGCACCCCAAAAGCATGGATGTGGTGCTCAGGGTGCGTCCTGCTGTCCCCACAGCCGAGATGCTGTTCCTGCTGTGGGGCAGCTTCCTGTGCTACGCCACGCGCGCCGTGCCCTCGGCCTTCCACGAGCCCCGCTACATGGGCATCGCCCTCCACAACGAGCTCATGGTCTCTGCCACCTTCCACGTGGTCAGGTAGGGCCAGGAACCCGCTTCCCACCCCTGGGGATGCTCAGGAACCGTCCCAAGGTGGGGAGGGGTTGGGTGCTCTGGATGTCCAAAGCAAAGGGGGTTTGGGTGCTCAGGATCTCCATGGTGGGAAGGGTTGGGGGGCCAGGCAGGGAGGGTTGCGGGCTCTGGAGGTGGGGAGGGGCTGTGGTGGGAGCTGGCACTGCCCTCCTGGTCCCTTCCAGGTTCCTGATTGTCCCCTCGCTGCACCCGGACTGGACTCTGCTGCTCTTCTTCGCCCACACCCACGGCACCATCACCATGACCCTGGCCCTGCTCTTCATTCCCAAGGTACTCCAGGGAAGGAACAGAGCTGGGGAAGGCATTGCAGCACCACGAGAGGCTCAGGGAGCTGGGGGGCTCAGTCAGGAGCAGAGGAAGCTCAGAGGGACCTTCTGGCTCTCCACAAGTCCCTGACAGGACCTGGGGAGGGGCAGGTTCTGCCCTCAGGGAACAGGGACAGGAGGAGAGGGAACGGTGTCAGGCTGGGCCAGGGGAGGTTTGGCTTGGATATCAGGGAAATTTCTCATGGAGAGGGTGATCAGGCACTGGAACAAGTGGAGTCCCCACCCCTGGAAGTGCTGGAGAACGTGAGGATGTGGCACTGGGGACGTGGGTAAGCGGTGGCTTTGTCAGCACTGGGCGAACAGCTGCACTCGCTGACCTCGAGAGCTTTTCCATCCTCCACAATTCCATGATTCCATGGCTAACACCCATCCCAGGGGCTCGGGGAGCTGGGACAGGCCCCCCGAGTGAGTGGCCCGTGTCCCCGCAGTTCCTGCACACGGGCTCGCCGCTGCGGGAGGAGATCACGGCCGAGGTGTACGAGGACGAGCTGGACATGCGGCGCTCGGGCTCCTGCATGAACAGCAGCATCGCGTCCGCCTGGAGCGAGCACAGTCTCGACCCCGATGACATTCGGGTGGGTGGCACACTCAGGACCTTCTTTTGACGCTAGCTGTGCAGAGTAAGAGGTGCCTTTCGCAATCTTTTCCTGACGCAAAGGGGACGAGGGGGTGCAGGGTGACCCCACCCGCGTGGGCAAACCCGCTGCCTCCTCTGGGCAGCGCGGGGGGCTTTGGGGACACGGGGACAACCCGGGGCTCGGCGGGGCGCTCCCGGCCGCAGCCCCCGCTGTAGGCGCTCTCCTCTCTCCCTTTTCTCTGCCGCGTCCCCCCCGCCCGCGGCGCAGGAGGAGCTGAAGAAGCTTTACCGACAGCTGGAGGTGCACAAGACGTGGCGGATGGCGACCAACAACCCGCACCTGGCCAAGAAGCGCGGCTCCCGCCGCAGCCTGGCCCGCTCCATCCTGCGCCGCAGCGGCGCCGAGCTGGCCGAGAGCGCGTCCCGCCGCAGCAGCGCCGGGGACCGGCCGGGGCCCCCGTCCCGCCGCAGCTCCTCGGCCAAGCGGCTGGCGGATGCCGCCGGGAGCAGCCTGAGGGCGCGGGACGAAAGCTCCCGGCGCCGCTCCTCGGCCCTGCGCAAGTCCCGCAGCTCCGAGGGGCCCCCGCGGGAGCCCCGCCGAGGGTCGCCCGCCCCCAGCCCGCCCGAGGAGCCTCCGCCGGCGGCGGGGACGGACCTGGAGCAATCCGACAGCGACTCGCTGGACGCCGCCCCGCTCCTGTGCAAATCGGCCAGCGCCCAGAACCTGGCGGGGCACTGGCAGCGACCCCCGGCGCTGCAGAAGTCGCACAGCGTTGTCGCCGGGGCGCGGGAGGCGGCGCTGCTGGCCGCCCGCCGCCAGTGGCACGGCAGCCGCCACCTCTCCGCGCCGGCCCCCGGCCACACCGCCACACCCCGGAGCCCCGCCGAGAGCGGCCCGCAGCAGGACGAGCCCAAGGGGCACAAACATGTCACCTACGCGCCCAGCAAGGGCGGCAGCGTTGACAGCGCCCACCCGGCCAGGAAGGGGCGGGTGACCGTGAAGAAAACCCCCCCTCCGCCCCCCGTCCGCTACCAGAGCCTGCAGCGCTCGGGGACGCTCGGGGACGGCGCGGAGCCACCCCCGGGCCCCCCGGCACAGGGGACAGCAGGGGACGAGCCCGAGCGAGCGTCCCCCCCGGCGGGGAAGGGCAGGCTGCTGACCCCGAGCGCCACCGCGGCACACGTCTGTCCCTGGGAGCTGGTCCAGGACGAGATCCTGGGCAGGAAACAAAAAGCGGCCGAGGCAGCAGAGTCGGGGACCCCCGGTGACACAGCGGCCACCGCCCCCGGCCCCAAGGCCACCCCCGCGAGGAGTTTCCGGAGCCTGGGACTCGCCATCAAAGCCCTGAACCGCTCCAGGGGGAAGAGCATCCTGAAAGGGAAAAGCGAGGGGAGCCTCAGGAAGAGGGGCAGCAGCAGGAGGGAGAAGCCCGGCCTGGCAGAGGCCTCGGCCGCGTCCCTCGCTGCCAAAAGCCCCGAGGGGAGCGGGCAGAGCCTCGAGGCCCCCGCCCTGCAGCGCAACAACAACGCCGCCAGCCCCGGGGACAGCGGGACAGGAGGACAGCGGGACAGCCCGGCCGCGGGGACAGGCGGTGGGGACAAAGCGGCCGAGGAGCCCAGCGCTGCCCCAGGGGACGCGGGTACCGGCCTGGAGCCGCCCAGCGCGGGCCACCACGGAGCTGAACGTCCCCCGGAGCTGGCACGGGTACAGCGCCAGGAAGGGGACGAGGCTCCGGCAGCGGACCTGGGAAAGGGCGTTCCTGGGGGCAGAGCGGAGGAAGGGACACGTGAAGGGCCCGAGGGGAGCAGCAGGTCCTTCCAGCCCCGGGAGCAGCCGGAGCAGCCCAGGCCGAGCAGCGAGCGGGGCGCGGCGGGGGCGAAGCCGCGGGCCGAGCTCCGGCCGCCCGGATGGCTCGGGGGGCCCGCTGCAAGGGCAGCCCTGCTGCGCCAGGAGGCGATCGCGCCCCGGGAGGACGAAGGGAGCCCCGAGAGCCCGGAGAAGGCGCTGGAAGAGGGGAGCAGGCAGCCCGAGCCCGAGCGGGCCCCTGCAAGGAGCTGGAGCGGGGCCGGGAGCGCGCAGGGAGAGCTCGGTCCTGGGGGAACGCGGCGAGACCCCAGCTCCCAAGCAGGAATCTGCCCTGGGAAGGGCGGCAGTGAGGGGGATTCTCAGCGCCCTCCGGGCGTGGAAAATCCACCAGAGCTGCCGAAAGTGGCCCCGGAGCAAGCGGAGGGCAGGAGGGCCGAGGTGTGCCCGTGGGAGAGCCGGGAACAGGGAAGGAGTGTCCGAGCAGAAATCTGCCCCTGGGACACAGAGGGGGCTCCGCCAGAGCAGGGATCCCCCAAATCTGGAGGTGTGGAGCAGCCTGGGATGGGGCTCGCAGGGAAACCCCCAGCTCTGCCCAAACCCTCATCCCAGCGGGCTGGAACCACGGAGAGCAAAAAGGCCAACATCTGTCCCTGGGAGGTGGAGGAGGAGCCGCACCCAAAACCAGAGATCTGCCCCTGGGAAGAGGCTGCAGCTCCGTCGGGGAAGGAGAGATCGAGGCAGGACATGCATGGCACTTCCAAAGGGAAAGAAAAAGTGGGATCCAGAGCACTGGAAAAAGGAGAGCAGCGCCCAGACAAACCCCTGCCCAAATCCCCTTCAGGGAGACCCCAGAGCTCAGAGAAGGCAGAGATCTGTCCCTGGGAGTCTCAGGGCTCTAAATCCAGTGACAAAGCTGAAATCTGTCCCTGGGAGGTGGCTGAGCCTCAGGTGGAGAAGGGAACAGCCCCTGGTAAGGAGAAGCTCCCAGGAAAAGACGAGACCAAAGCTCTGGAGAAGGGGAGCAAAGATCGAGAGTCCATCTGTCCCTGGGAGAGCCTGGACACGGAGCAGCCCCCAGCCAAACCCCACACTGGGAGCTCAGCACTGCCCAGAGCAGCCCCAGGGAAATCCCAGAGCTCAGAGAAGGCAGAGATCTGTCCCTGGGAGAGTCAGGACCTCAAATCCAGTGACAAAGCTGAAATCTGTCCCTGGGAAGTGGCTGCACCTCAGGTGGAGAAAAGAAAGGAGGGAAAGGAGAGACTCCCAAGGAAAGATGAGACCAAAGCTCTGGAGAAGGGGAGCAGAGAGAGGGAATCCATCTGTCCTTGGGAGAGCCTGGACACAGAGCAGCCTCTGGTAAAACCCCACACTGGGAGCTCAGCACTGCCCAAAGCAGCTCCAGGGAAATCCCAGAGCTCGGAGAGGGCAGAGATCTGTCCCTGGGAGGTTGAATCCAGTGGCAAAGCAGAGATCTGTCCCTGGGAGTCTCAGGACATGGAATCCAGCAGCAAAGCCGAGATCTGTCCCTGGGAGGTGGCTGCACCTCCCTCCCAGCAGCCAGAGGCAAAGCAGGACCCTGCTGGGGGCTCCAAGGGGGACAAGCGCATCACGCGCCAGGCAGCGCTGGCCAGCCCGGAGAGATCCCTGGAGAGCAGAGACAGAGCGTCTGTCTGTCCCTGGGAGAGCCTGGACACGGAGCAGCCCCCAGCCAAACCCCACACTGGGAGCTCAGCACTGCCCAGAGCAGCCCCAGGGAAATCCCAGAGCTCAGAGAAGGCAGAGATCTGCCCCTGGGAGACTGAATCCAGTGACAAAGCTGAAATTTGTCCCTGGGAGAGTCAGGACCTTAAATCCAGTGACAAAGCTGAAATCTGTCCCTGGGAGGTGGCTGAGCCTCAGCTGGAGAAGGGAACTGGCCCAGGTAAGGGTAAACTCCCAGGAAAAGAAGCCTCCAAAGCTCCGGAGAAGAGCAGCAAAGATCGAGAGTCCGTCTGTCCTTGGGAGAGCCTGGACACGGAGCAGCCCCCGGCCAAACCCCACACTGGGAGCTCAGCACTGCCCAGAGCAGCCCCAGGGAAATCCCAGAGCTCGGAGAGGGCAGAGATCTGTCCCTGGGAGACTGAATCCAGTGACAAAGCAGAGATCTGTCCCTGGGAGTCTCAGGACTCTAAATCCAGTGATAAAGCTGAAATCTGTCCCTGGGAGGTGGCTGAGCCTCAGCTGGAGAAGGGAACTGGCCCAGGTAAGAGCAAACTCCCAGGAAAAGAAACATCCAAAGGTCTGGAGAAGGGGAGCAGAGAGAGGGAATCCATCTGTCCCTGGGAGTCTCAGGGCTCTAAATCCAGTGACAAAGCTGAAATCTGTCCCTGGGAGGTGGCTGAGCCTCAGCTGGAGAAAGGAACTGGCCCAGGTAAGGAGAAGCTCCCACCAAGAGAAGCCTCCAAAGCTGTGGAGAAGGGGAGCAGAGACAGAGAGTCCATCTGTCCATGGGAGAGCCTGGACACGGAGGAGCTGTCCCTGAAATCTGCAGTGGGGAAGGAGCCATCCAAGAAACCCAAGAGCACGGAGAGCAGGAAATCTGAAATTTGCCCCTGGGAAGCAGCAGAGCCCATTGGGTTGGAGGAGGAAACCTCCCAGCCAGGTGTGCAGCCACAGGGAGCCCAAGGAGGTTCCCCTGCAGGGACGGGACAGCCAGGAGCCAGCGAGGTGTCTCCAACACTTCTGGAGAAGTCCAGGGGCAGATCCCACGGGGAAGCCGAGCACAAGCGCCTGTGCCGGCTCCTGCCCAGCACCCAGCACCCAGGGGAGGGCAGCAGCTCCAGCCCTGCCGCTGGCCTGGCTCAGCTTTGTCCTTGGGAAGCTGGAGAGGCTCCAGCAGCACCTGCCAAGCCCAGTTTGGACACGAGGAAAAGCTCTGAGGTGTGTCCATGGGAGGAGGAGAGCATGGAGCCCTCCCGGACCCATCCTGGGCAGGGCAGAGCCCGGGATGGGGGTGGGGTGTGAGGGGACCCCAGCACCAGCAGCTCCATCAGCCATGGATCCATTCATGGATCCACCCCTGGATCCATCCACCCATGGGCCCATCCCTCTGTCCTCCCCCTCCATCCATCATCCATCCCCCCATCCCTCCCTGGAGCTGGAGGCTGCTCCCCCCTGCCCAGCTCTGGTGTTGGACTGGGGGGTCTGGGGGTGTGAGGCTGAAGGTCCTGGTTGTGTAATTTTGTGTAAATACAGGAAATAAACGGAATTATCTACAGAGTGTGCTGGGAGAGGCTCACTGTGAGGTGGGGAAGAGCTGGGATATCCTCAGGGGAGAGAGGAAATCCAGCAATGGAGGGGTTAAGTAGCAGAGGATGGAGAGGGGCTGACTGGAAGGGAAGGCCATTCTCCCAAAAAAGCCACATTCCACCCAAAAAGCCCCTTTCCATTCAGAGCCAGGGCTAGGGAACCCTGGGCTTGGAGGGAAGGGACCTTCAATCCCACCCAGGGACCCCTCCCACTGTCCCAGGCTGCTCCAGCCTGGCCTGGGCACTGCCAGGGATCCAGGGGCAGCCCCAGCTGCTCTGGGAATTCCATCCCTGCCTCTGGCAGAGGGAGCCCATTCCCTGTGTCCTGTCCTTCATCCCTCTCTCCATGTTTCCCGTAGCTCCTTCAGGGAATCCTCGATGAGGTCACCCCAAAAATCCCCTTTTGCAGCCTGGACAATCCCGATCCTCTCCTCCCTCTGGGTTCAGGAATTCCATCCCCTCACTCAGCTCCTGAGCGAGGCAGAGGCTCCATGGAAAAGGGTTTTTTTAGGAACAGAGGGATTGTGACACCCCAAAGGACATGGCAGGGATTCCACTGCTGGCTCCTCTCCCAGCACAGCACAAATGAGAGGCCCTGCCCTCCCAAAAGGAACACTGGGGAGCAGAAAGGAGCCACAGCTCCTCTTTTTACAGCTCTGCAAAATCCCTCTCAAGGAAGAAATAAAAATTCCCTGAACTCTCCCACGCTCTGGAAGTGGCTGAGTTAAAAAGCAGGACAAGGAGAAAAGGGTTTGTTCCTGGGTGAGCAGGGAGGGTTTTTCTGTGAGGGAGGAGAACTGGCTGAGCAGAGCAGGAATAGAGAAGGAGCCTCACAGGGAAAAAAAAAAAGTGTTTTCCCAAGCCAGGCAAAGCAGGGACAGCTGCAAATGTCATGGTGCCCACAGGATGGTGCCAGTCCCTCAGTGGCAGCACCAGCTCTGCCACCAACACCAACCCCAGCCCCTGGTGAGGAGCCAAAACTGAGATGAAATCCAGTGATCAGCTGTGCTGCAGCTCCTCTGGGAAACCCCAACACAGCACCCCCTCACCTCACCACAGAACTCGACTGAGGGTTTTCCTGGTTTCTGTTAAAAAACAGGAGTTTGGGAATCAGCAGAGATAGAGAGGTGGGAAAAAACTGGTGAAGTTTTAATGCCTGAGCAGCAGCTCTGTGACACCTCCCATGGAGGGGACAAATATTCCAAGGGCTCTCCCATGGAATTCAGGACAGAGGGTGAGCTGTGGATGCTGCCAAGGCTCCTCATCCTCACAGAAACCCAGCGAGGGTGAGGCTGCAGCACACGGAGTGTGGGACAGAGCCAAGCTCTTCCCAGAGCTCAGCCAGATCCCCCTCCCAGCCCCTGGGGCTCCCTGAAGGACAAATCTGGAGTGGCTGGAGCCCTTTCCCAAAGGCACAGCCACGTCCAGCACATTCCCAATCCTCCCTCCTGGCCTGTTTGCTCTCCCTGTCCACGTTCCAGAACTTTCTATTTCACTGTTTCTTGCTCCTGTGAGGGATCCGGGGCTGGGCCAGGAATCATCACAGTCTGGAAAAGCAAGGGACAAAAATCAGCAGGAAAAGGACATTCCAAACAGCTCTGCCCGTGGAGGAACCCCCCACCTTCCCCTCCCAGGCAGCTCAGCTGTGCCCAGAATGATCCCCAGGGATCTGCCTTTCCCCCCAGGGAGCTGCATTTCCCAGCCCTTTCCCACCTTAATGATGGGATCCTTGGGTGGGGCCCACTCTGGGATGATCTTCCCGTGCATCCTCCAGGTTCCATAGGGGTTCACCAGGTACCTCTCAAACACAACATATTCCAGAACATCCTTGGGAATGTCCTCCCCGCCGTACATGAGCCGCCCAAAGCGGTCATAGATGGCCAAAATCTGTCCAAAGATCCAAAAAAAACCCCAGGATGGATGGGGTTAGGAGTGACCTGGGATAGTGGGAGATGTCCCTGCCCATGGGATGGGATTTAAGAGATTTCCAACCCAAAAAAAGGCTGGGATCTCTGTGCTGGGCTGGCAGCAGGTTGGGCTTGGTGAGGGAAGATGGAGGGATGGAATTTCCGAGGAGGAAAGGCTGGGAAAACGGGGACTGTTCATCCTGGAGCAGGCTCCTGGGTGATCCAAGTGACCTCCCAGGAAAACGGGGACTGCTCATCCTGGAGCAGGCTCCTGGATGTGACCTGGGCCAGCAGAGGTGTCCCTGCCAGGCCCCGGGCCAGCAGAGGTGCCCCTGCCAGGCCCCGGCCAGGCTCACCTGGCGGCTGTGCATCCTCACTGTCACCTGCCCGTAGAGGTTGCCCCGGTTGAGGATGCCCTCGCAGCGCACGTGCACCACCCTGGGGGGCTCCAGGGACTCCAGAAAGCTCCAGCGGATGGTTCTGTAGCGGTTCCCTCGCACCATGTCCTGCCAGCACACACCAGCTTGGCGTTAATTCCATTAGCAATGACTTCTTCGCTCCCGACAGCGAAAATCAGCTCCCACTCTGGGGGCTCTTGGGGATTTTTGGTTTTGTTAAGGTTGGGATTGAAGGCATTTGAGATGGAATTTAGGTTTAGATGGTTAGGTTTTATTTATGTTTAGGTTTAGATGTTTAGGTTTTATTTGTGCTTAGGTTTAGATGGTTATTATGTTTTATTTATGATTAGGTTTAGATGGTTATTATTTTTATTTATACTTTAAGCTGTGAGTTTTACAGTATTTTACTAATAAGTTACAAAAAGGTTAATTATCTTTCTACACAAGGTCTTTTAAAGTTAAATTATTTAACTGAGAAACAATATTTAAATTATTTTTATTTTTAGCTTAATAACTAATTACTCCAAGTCCACAACGCAGACTTTTCTAATTATAAAATATCACTTAAACTTGTGAAGAACAATTAGTCACTGTTCTAAACTTCTATTTTGCCTTATATACATTGTTATATTTTAAAATCTTAAATTGCAGGTTTTTTCCTTAGTGATATTATTTCTAATCAAACTACACATTTGTAATCTGAGCGTTATTAACCAATTTTGGAAGGTTTTTTTATGGTCTTAGGTCAAATACAGTATTTTCTTGTGGGTCTGTGCTCTTCAGCACAGAAGGTTTAAAATTTTCAGCATTTAGGGTTCTAACATGACTCGGTTTGGTGTTAATGGGAGCAAGGAGAAAACACCACAAACAATTCATTGGTTGTTGATGAATTTTGGGTTTTCCCTCCCAGCTCTCTGCTGAATCCAGAAAAAAAAAAATAAGGCATCACCAGGTTTAGAAAGCTTTAAAAGAAAAAAAAAAAAGAGGGGGGAAAACTCCATTAAGAATGAGGCAGAGGACGAAATTCAGAGAGTCTGAAATGCCATGGAAGGGATCCAAGCACCAACCCCTGCTCTGGGAACCCAGGGAATGGCTGGAGCTGCGCCAGGCTGGATTCTGGGGAAAAGCTCTCCATGCTGAGGGCTTCTGGGCACTGGAATGTCAGGACCCCCAGGCTGGGAGGGACTGCTGGGATCGTGCTGCGCAGGGCCAGGGCTGGGGCTGCTGATCCCGGGGGTCCCTCCCAGCTGAGACCCCCCAAACCTGCGGGCACTTACGGGGTAGCAGCGCTCGGTCACCAGGGAGTGAAGCTTCTGCTTGTTGAAGCTGCAAGGGAACACCCCGGGCACCTCAGCACAGGGAGAGAGCTTCCCCACAAACTCCTGCTTTCCCCACAAACTCCTGCTTTCCCCACACAAATCCCAGCTCTGGCCCCACAAACTCCTGCTTTCCCCACACAAATCCCAGCTCTGGCCCCACAAATTCTTGCATTTCCCCCACAATTTCCTGATATTCCCCTCACACAAATTCCTGCAATTCTCCCAGCAAAATCTTGCATTTCCCCCACGCAAATTCCAGCTCTAGCCCCACAAATTCCTGGATATTCCCCACACAAATTCCAGCTCTAGCCCCACAAATTCTTGCATTTCCCCACAATTTCCTGCTTTCCCCTCACAAATTCCTCCTTTCCCCCCATAAATTCCTCTCTCAAATTCCCTCTTTCCCCACACAAATTCTACTTTTCCTCCCACACAAATTCCCCCTTTTCCCCCCACACAAATTCCATGTTTCCCCACACAAATTCCCCTTTTCCCCCCACACAAATTCCCCCTTTCCCCACACAAATTCTACTTTTCCTCCCACACAAATTCTGCCTTTTCCCCCCTCACAAATTCCACGTTTCCCCACACAAATTCCCCCTTTTCCCCCCACGAATTCCAGCCCCTCGTGGGTCAGGGAAGGGCCTCACTTTGCCAGGGAGTTGTGGGCCTCAATGAATATCTCCTGGGCTTTCTCAGGGAAGGTTTTGGTGCTGAAATCCGGGTCGTGATCCTTGATCTTCCGCAGGCTGGGAAAGAAAAAATCAAGGAAAGAACAAAACTGGAGCTGTCCTGGATGTCTGGATCCTACAGGATTCAATCCCAGCTTTCACCAGCTGAGAACTGGAGATCCCCCACTAAGACAAAACCTTCAGTGGTCATAAAAGAGCCAAATCCAAAGAATCCTAAAAAAACTGGGAGTGCACAGCGTGGCTGCTCCCAGCAGGAGAGGTGGGAACTCAGGGGAAGGGGAGCACAACAAAAGTGGGAAAAGCAGGGAGGAAACAGCCCCTTAATCCTAAAAATCACCCAGAGATCCCTCAGCCCCTCACAGAGGGGGTTTGGTGGGGGCTGAGAGGATGTGGGGGGTTTGGGGGGTTTGGGGGGGTCCTGGGTGGGTCTGTGGGAGTTTTGGGGGGATCTGAGGGGTCCTGGGTGGGTCTGTGGGCGTTTTGGGGGGATCTGGGGGGTCCTGGAGGTGACTGGATGGAACACAAGGAGGGTCCTGGGTGGGTCTGTGGGCGTTTTGAGGGGATTTGGGGCTCCCCGGTGACCCTGGGGAGGAATAGCAGCCACGGGCAGAGCCAGGAGGGGCCAAGCAGCGGGTTAACGAGGCTCATTAGCTCACAAGGGGTACGTACGCCAGCTGGGAGGCCGCGGTCTGCCTCAGCTTCTGCATCTGCTGCGTCACGCCGTGCCTGGAC